AAATGCCATTATATGTACTTAGTGATGTTTTCATATTTTTTTAATGACATTCAAATTGACTTAAGGGTGTTATCTTAGTTTTCCGAAAGCTATTAACAAATTTAGTCAGATTCTCTAGGCTTGATCCATGAAACGAAAGACAGTAACAATACTACTCTGTTCAAAAATACATAACTTTATGGTTTGCCCAAGAAGCTGATGAAATGTGTTCAGTTCCTTCATGCAAGATCCTGGGGAAAGGAATTAGACCCATCTGTTTTGATAGCCTTAGGATGTAGTTATGCTACCAGTTCAAACCTATGTAAGATGCTCCTACCAAAAGAAATGAATCTAACCGTCTTCCATTACATTTAGGGTCTAATTAAGTATTATTACAGAGATGTTAAAAACACTTTGCAACTGACATTTTTCCATAAAAATTGCACCTTTCTATTGTATTTTATGGACACTGTCGGTCATCCTCTTGAATTGCAATTATACTTTCATCTTCCTTTTGCAGTTCAAGCAGTATGCAGCTGTATTTCACAACTCATTTTACTGCAATTAAAATAGTTAAATGAAAATGCATGTTAATTAAAATGTGACTTTTCTTTCCATAATTTACCAATATATTCAAAATTGCTTTCCCTGATGAAAGGCACGTGCTATTTCCTCACGTGTGAGGAAAAGACTATTTGATAGCATAAGTTTGTATGGAGTGTTTTTCTGAGCTCAGGAAGAGCAACAATGCCAGATCAGCTTGCTAAGATTCACTTATTAACACCTGTTTAACATCTGTCTTAGTCTAAAAAAAGGTTGCGGTTGCTTTTTTTAGTCTACTTGACAGTAGCATGAAGAAGTCTCAACCAAAATAGTGTCCCATTGGAAGCTGTATAGTAACAGATTAATCTTAAAGAAATGAAATTGAAGTTCACAGAGAAAACAAGGATAGGAAACAGTAACAAGAGGTGAATGTATATTAAATGACTTCCCTCATCACGCTTGTGAGTAAATGTTCAGTTTTCACAGTTGGCTGGTCCATAAGCTGTGACTTTTAGGATTTGGCAACACATTTGGACTTTGGCAATTAAAATCTGTGTACATCCTATTTTGGTTAGCTGCTGCATTTCTTGGGCCTGCACCCCGCTCAGCTTAGTGACCTAGCTGGATGATTTTCTGCCTTCAAGACCATCCAGCTCTGTGGTCACTGGCAACAAAGGTTGATGGGGGAGCAACCTACGCTATCTCCCACAGTGTGTGACATTCTCAGTATTATTTCTGGAGGGCCATTGAAATGAGGGACTGCCAGGTCTGACCTGTTCCAGAATTCAGCTTTTCCCTGGGAAGCTTGGTCTCTCTCTGGCTCCGAAAACAGTGGGATGCTCCCCCTTGGCTGCATCCTGGAGGGTGGAGGAACTCTCCAGCTCTTCTCACTAGCCCTGCCAGCCCAGGTGACTCCTGCTCACCATTTACCTTGAGCTGCTAGCACCCGACATGGATGGAGAAGGGAGGTGAATAATTCTGACTGGATGTTTTGGTTCTCCCATTGTAAGCATGCACAGTGGATGCTCCTGTGGTTATGTAAAACCACTTTTGTGACTTGGGCTGTTTTTTCTACCTGAGTATCATTGAGAAAATTGAGTAAAACTCACAGCTTTTTAAGCTGTCTTCTTTCCTTCAGCCATTGTTTCCTGTTACACTAGACTTCTTATAAATTCATTAAGTTTAAGTATTAAACTACATAAAGGGAGTCAGGAAATTTCTATACCAGCAGGTGTCTTTTAAAAGGAAAATAAACCCAAGATATTTAACAGAACTCCCAGTATGCCCGGAGTACAGTCTTAGTCTTTTTCTTTTTCTTTCCTTTTTTTGAAGGCTTGTGCCTGTGGCATTGCATGCTTCAGTGCTTGTAGAAGGAAGAGCAGGTTTAGCAGAACCCATTCTGTTTCTCCACATAAACTTAGAGGTGGTCAGAAATTTTAGGTCCCTGAGCTTCAAAGGGTTTTGTCTGAATCAAAACAAACTTTTGCTACATTTTCCAGGCCTCCAGCTTGAAGGGAGCTGCAGGTATTCCTG